GGGCTTAGGCAGCACTGGGTTGGGATGTTTTCTTGATGTGCACTTAGCCCTTATATAAAACTCTGTCTTATACATGAGTTTCTGTGGATTTGTTTCTCTAAAGTACCCAAACTAACACACTGGGCCACCATCCTGTGGGGTCCTCAGAAGGGCATCCAGGGAGCTCGATGCGAGGGCCCCTCCAGGCAGCAGCTGCGCTGGCCAAGCATCAGGTGGGTGCAAAGGACATTTTTTGCGGGAGATGCTCGTAATTAGAAAAACAAAGCTGCAGTACATGGACAGGGAGCTGCCAGGAATTCAGACCCATTTAGCAGTGGACAGGGAATGAAGGATTATCCTTGCTGACATCATCAGCTTTACTGAACACAGATACCAGAAAGGTGTTTCCTTGTGTTTTCTTGACTGTGCAAAGGCATTTAACCTGGGCGGATGCTAACAAACCATGGACAGCGTTGTGAAGACTGGGCATCCCAGAACACGTCACTGTATTCAAGCAGCATAGTAGTATTCAAGTCGGGCTGCTGACTACAAGCTTGGCAGCTCCAATCCACCAGCTGCCCCAAGGGAGGAAGATGAGGCTTTCTGCCCTCCACAAAGATTTATAGTTTAGGGAGAAGTTCTACTCTGTCCTAAGGGATCACCATGCATCAGAATCAACTCTCTGGCAGTGGTTTGGTCTGAATGTGTGGACAAAAATCATCGCAACTGGACCAATAAAAAAAGATCCTAAGAATTGGTAAAGACATTAAAGCTTCCGGTGGCTCCATGGCACGCGGCTATAGCGCCCATGTGTTGGCCATGATGCTCACGCTGAGCCGCTGCCCACGATGCGGAGGCATGGCCACCACTTGGACGAAACCACGCTAGCATCCCTCAGCCCCTCACGGCGAGAAGACCCCAGAGAAAGGGCTCATCAGAAACACACGTCGGTGGGCATAGATCATGGCAGACAAGGATCACAACACTGTCCTCAAAAGTTCTCCCCGAATTCTGCTCGTGCCGGTGGATGAAGTTAAGAGCCAGTACTCGTCCGTGCTGTGCCCAAATCGCCTGGCGATCAGAAGTGGCTTGGCCATGGAGTGGCTGGGCATGAAGGGGAGACATGTGAGTTTCTGCCGCTGGCCAACAGATCATCAGAGAAGTCACTCCCTCACTGCCATCCAGTGATTCCCGCTCAGGGTGACCCTGTAAGGTGGGGCCGAACTGCCCATTTCAGAGATTCTCACTCTTTACGGGGATAGTAAGCCTCAGTCCTGCAGCACAAGGTCATCAGTTGGAAACCACCAGGTGTGTGTGGTGGTGGGAGGGGAATGAAGCTTTCTGTTCCTGTAAAGAGTTATAATCTCTCTGGGAAACCCACAGGAGTAGTTCTACTCTATCTTGTAGGGTTGCCAGGA